AGTTTAATAACTGAGCATTGTGCTTAGCCACATTGTTAGAGCTTTGCAGTACATTGCACATTGGTCTGATATTATAGTATGTATTAGGGCACATTGTTTCCATTTTTCCATTAAGTCAAATGAAAGCCTATAATTTTGCTTTTTTCTCTTATTCTTACTTATATTAAATGGTATTTATTACATGTATTTTGGTGTGATATTTGGTTGTTCCGGGCACCAAAAATAAGTCAGGCTGGGCACTGGTGGCTAATGCCTGTAATCCAAGGTTGAGAACTGAGGACTGAGGTTGGAAGCCAGCCTGGGCAGGAAAGTCCATTGAGACTTTTTTATCTCTAACCACCAGAAAACAAGAAGTGGATCTGTGGCCCAAAGTGTTAAGAGTGCCAGTCTTGAGCACAAAAGCTCACAGACAGTGCCCAGGTCCTGAGTTCAAGCCCCATAACCAACCAAAAATAAAAAGGAAGAAGTAACGCCCTCATTTTTTGTAATGAAGGGAGCAGTGGAGTAAATTGTACGTTAGGAAAGATTAAGCAGATGAAAGGAGAGAAAGGAGGCAGAGACTTCAATAGAACAGGCTTTCGTCATCGCTGCAGAGGGACTCCGTGTAACAGACAGCAGAGCGCGAGAAACAAGGAGCCAAGGGCATGGGGGGTTGGGCTTTTAATACAGTGCGGTGTAAGCATCTCTTTGGAATATTTGTGCTGTCCTGTTTGGGATTTATGCATGGTATCCTAAGGTCAGAGGTGAAGTTTTCCTGAGAATCAGGAGCAGTCCCCGAGGAGAGGTTGGTCAGTGGAACATGAAAGCAACATGGAGTCGTGAGAACAAAGCACATTCCCATCGTGGTAGCCATGTGCTTCCTTGGATGTAATGAGATGTGGGGTGGTGGAATGTCCCAGATAGTACTCATAAAATGCACTCAACAACTGTTTGTTTCTTCTTGTCATCTTAGGAAGACTGTTCTCTTTCTTCTGCTCAGGAATAGGGAGAGATGTGAGGAGAGGCCGGAGGCCGGAGGGTCTTTCTAGGGGAGCAGATGTGCCTGAGTAGCTAGTGGGACATCACAGGCGCCAAGAATTGCCGCAGCTCGCCTGAGCTGAGTTCATTAGCAGCACAGGTAACACGGTCCATGCACAGAACTTCACGTCTGGTAAAGAAACCATTTATAATTACAGTTGACATTACTTTTATTCCCCCTCCCCCAACAGGCTTTTGTAGGCTGTGTAAATTCCACCTCATGTATGTACATGTCTTTTTAAATGATTATATGGTTGTCTCCACCAAAATGAACACATCATCAGAAAATTCTTTGTCTAAGATTAATTTTTAAAGAACTTTCTCATATTTAAAAAAAATAGTGAATGCATCTGAAAATGATTCACAATGAAATATTTCAACAGATTAATTCTAGTAAAACTGGACTAATGATTCCAAACAATGTTAAATCACTATGACTACTGAATTTGTGGTAGCTATAGATGCAGACGCTCACACTACATTGGTAACTCAGATACCGTCACATCGGCTTCCCTAGGGGGAAAGATTCGGAAAGGGAGACGTGCAAGGTGTTTATTGGCAAATAACTAAGGAGGAGAAAGGGAAAGGGAAGCTCTACCAAGAAGTAGCCACAGCAAAGGCCTCAGCCAATCACATGCGGAGCTCTGGAACTGGGCTAAGCCTGTATCAGCTAACCAGCAGTAGATGGGGGAAGCTGAAGTGAGCACAGACAATACAACCTTCATTAGCTGATAGCACCCCTAGAGGTCAGTTCCAGTATTACCATCAGCTAAGGGATCTGAATACATCAGAAAGGGGCACACTCGAGCAGCTCAGGCCACCCGGTGACCTGCTTGTTTTCAATGGCCAGATCTGAGGATATCTCCTCCAGGACTGCAATGCATTTCTTTTCCCAAAGAAAACTGCAGGAAGATCAATAGACTCTCCTATCGTCCCTCTGCCACAAGTGGCCTCAAGGTCTCTCTCTTCGAGATTTCTGACCAGTACTTCTCTAAACTGTCAAGGTCATTGAAAGAAAAGAAAGCCTAAGCAACTATCATAGCCAAGAGTAGTCTAAGGAGACAACTAAATATGCTGTTCTAGATAGAATCCTGTGATCACACACACACATACACACACACACACACACATACACACACACACACATCTTCAGTTAATCACAGTGTCTGCCATCTCCCTGGAATGTAATTACTAATTCTGATTTAGTATATGAGACAAGGGGATGGAGGAGAGGTTTCTACTTGGTTTCTACTCCTTAGTTTCCACACGGAAATGGGGGTGGAGAGGTTTCTACTTCTATATTAAGAAAGTTCTTAGCCCACAAGTCAAAAATAATATGGCAGTTGAGCCAACACCCAAATGTGTTCAGTGGAGGGCTGAGTAAATAAATGGTAAACAGGTGAATGGCAATCCACCATGATAATCAGGTGGATCTACAGTAAGACCTGAGGGGAGAAACGCATGCATTACCTGGATCCCAGGTGCCCCCACAGCCTCTGCTGGTGACAGTGATATTGTGGCCCTTCACTGCCAGTGCCAGCTTGGACCTTGTGTGTCACGGTCCACACAGTTTTTGTGTACTCCCCTTCCTCAATGTCAGTAATCACTGAGGAATTATTGTCATACACACCTGCAAGGGCATCACAAGTCCTCTAGTCAATACATATGACTTTGAAAAATAGCCAATGTCTGGAAATTTATCAAGATATCATAAGCCTTTATTAGGGGAGCTGTGCCCTATTCCCCTGATCATCCATCCTTGAGATCAATGGTGTAGCTTCAATAAGAACATTCCGGTTTCCCCAACTAATTTGCCCTAGTCTATTAACCACACCACATTCTCTACAAGCCATTCATCATGGTCATCGTGGCCATGACAGCGGACCCCCGCTGCCAATGGCTCCTCTTCTCCCAGCCTTTGCTGCCGGTGAGCCCCAATCCCTAACAGTATCTGGCCTACAGAGCTGCCATGGAGCTTTGTAGAGATTCCGGTGCCCATTCCCAATGCCTACCTCCTCACTTTGGTAACTGTGCCTTTTGGGGTGCCCTCCACTCTTAAGAAAGTATAAGTACCTTAAAGTTCTGTGCAATAACATCTATGAAATATGAATAGACATATGTGATCTGCTAGCTACCAGGATTTTTCTTCTGGTATACACTAGAATAATTACTGATATAAAAACTCCCTCCTATCACCACTTGAAACCCCCTTGCATACACACATGAACCTTAGAAAGTATTAACATGGCTCCTGGTCCTGCTGATCACATTAAGCCTCCTGATATGGCCAATTGTCTACTCAAGTGTATAGACCCACTCTTTGACTGGACTTAGGGTAACAAGAGGTCTTTAACCCCATCTGTCTCTCAGCTTTTCTGCCCTTTGATTTAAAGGGATTATGAAAAGAATGCCCATTTCTTCTTATTGATCATAAATAAAACAAATATCCAGCTTAAAAGTAAATACAGAAGGCTTTTAATTCCTTGGAAAAATCACCTGTATAATCTCACATTTTTAATCACAACCATGGAGAAAATCTTATCCTTGTTTATTACCAAACATAGAAACAATGGGGAAAACGTATACTCCATAGATACAAACAATCTCATCTATTCTGACATCAATAAAAGACAAAAAGTTAAACTACAAATTGAGTACAGAAATTAAAACAGCACATTCTAAGATTTCTGTTTGTTCATTTGTTTTATTGTTTGTTTCACTGCTGGTGTATTTATCTCCCAAGAGTCTATAGAAGTGAGGGGAAAATATCTGAAGACTAATCTTAAATATGACATGGAGATTAAATGCTAAGTATAAAAAATAAAACTTTCCTTACATACTACACTAGGAAAAATTTTCCTGAAACACATCAGTTAAATTGTTCCATAATGTATCAACAAATACTTCTAGGAAATATTTTAAACATTGTGTGTCCTATGCCCCCTCCAAAAAAAAATAAAACGCTAATCAGGATATGAAATTCTTCAAGTCACAATCCCCTGGAGAGACTAACACAAGTTAGTTTATAACCTGAAGTCAGAAGTGCAAAATCTGAAAAAAAAACTTAAAATATTGTCACTGTTCTCAGCAATCTCCTGATAAACTCTATAACTCCTTATTAAAGGCTTTGTAACAAAATGAACCAGGATCTCAGGATCATTGGGCAAGCTCCTTGCTGGACTGATATAAGTTTTGCAGCTGGACTTGTCCATCTATGGATAGCAGTAAGCTGATATCACCTGCTCTGCTTCTGTGATGGAAGAAGACCCAGTAACAAGCCATGGCCTCCTGCCCACCTGTAGGTCTGCATGAGAAGTGCAACCCTGGCCATCCAGAAACAGACTAAAGACAGGAGAAGGAAGTGCAGGGCAAACACTTCCACTTACAGATTCTATCCCTGATCAAATGCCCTGGGCTCTGAGTGGAAACAAGTAAGATGCAAAAATGAGATGACCAGGTATCAGCCATGTTGAGGATTCAAGATGTATCACACCACAAGTGCAAATTTTTCCTCGAAGCTTCAGGAAACATCAGCTCAAGGGATCATTCCTTTTGGAACGCACCTCTGAACAGCATTCCTAAACATGTATCTGGTTCATCTACACTTCTCAGTGAGCGTAACTGGTACCAAAATAATACCTCAAACACCACCCCAAGTTCTGCAGAGTTTTCCAAGTCAAAGAGAGGTCATATCATGCCTAATATTATTTGGGGGCAATTTTTTCTAGTATTATATTTTAGATTAATTCTTTCAAAAGTAAAAATCTATTTGGGGGCTCAATGATCACTCTTTCTCCCTTTCTTGGGGGGTGGGGAAGTTGGGTGCTCCTGGGGCTTGAACTCAGTGCCTAGGTGTCATCCCTGAGCTTCTTTTGCTCAAGGCTAGCACTCTATCACTTGAGCTACAGCACCACTTCCAGCTTTTTTTCTAAGTAGTTTTTTGGAGATAAGAGTCTCAGCCTTTCTTACCCAGGCTGCCTCTGAACGATGATCCTCAGATCTCAGCCTCCTGAGTAGCTAGGATTTACAGGCGTGAGCCACCAGCACCCAACTGATCACTCTCTTTGGTAACCATTTTATTTTACCAGTTAGGATAACCCACTCCATCATAGGCTGAATGATCAGAACTGATTGTACCATTAAAACCAAAGCTGGGCAAAATGAGGCCTTTTATCTGGTCATCCAAGAACTCTTCCCCTAAGAAGCTCTTTTACTTTCTTTCTAGAAAGTAATATCACTCTAGTGTTTCAATGTAGCTATGAACACTTCATAAATAAGGTCCTCATGAAGACCTTGTGTTATACAGAATTCAGAATCCATTTCACACAGCAAGCGCTCCCCATCCAACTTTGCAGTCGTCCAGCTTTGCTTAGCTGTTGCATCCCAGTGGGAAATTTCCCTTTCTGCTTCTGTGCTTCTCCTTAAGGACTTGGAAATGGAAGGCAGTGTGGTTCTTTCTGGCCAACTGCCAGGCATGGAACCTCACAACTCTTGGGGTAAGTTCGACTAGCAACTTTAAAGAACTCTTCTGCTGCATCCAGAGCAATGAGACGGTCCTACAGAGAGGTAAAATAGATTGTCAAGTCAGAAACCAAGCCCTGTGGATGGGAAAATGAAACCAAACCCAATTAACCACACACACACACACACACACACACACACACACACACACACAAAACAGGAAGGGAACTGTGGCTCAAGTGGTAGAACAGTAACTTTGAGCAATAAGCTCAGGAACAAAACTGGGCACTGAAGGCTCATCCCTATATCCTAATAACTCAGAAGGCTGAGATGTGAGGATCACAGTTCAAAACCAGCTCGGGTGGGAAAGTCTGTGAGATTCTCATCTCCAATTAAATCACAGCAAAAGCTGGAAGTAGTGCAGTTGCTCAAGTGGTAGAGCGCTAGTCAAGCAAAAGAAGCTCAGAGACAGTGCCCAGGCACACACACACACACACACACACACACACACACACACACACACACACACACACACACACACACACACACACACACACACACACACACACACACACACACACACACACACACACACACACACACACACACACACACACACACACACCAAACCCACCCTAGAAATAAGATTGAGCAACTAAAATATTCGTGAACTTTTTCTCAACAGATTTAAACACATTTCCTAACCATTGTTTCACAACACTCCATCAAGCCTCACAGGTCTTTCAGATGACTCCTTAATCTTAGGTAATATAAACAAGTGTTCTCATATTACAATGTGATGACCAGCAAATGGTTCAAAACTGGCTGCCCAGCAGAATCAGTAGAGAAGCACAGCTACAATCTGAGCCTTGACAGGTTTAGGTGTGATCCAGAATTGTGAATTTTCAGAGCCTTTTCAGAGACATGGCTGGCACCTGTCACTGGAAAGCAAAGCGGATAATAGCGGCAGCATCTGCCACCGTGAGCCACAGTTATGATGGTCCTGGTGGCGTGGGAAACACCAATGCAGGAAACAACAGAGAAGACAAACAAACAACAACAACAAAAATCTCAGGCAAAATCAAGGTATGTCATGAAAGGAACCCACTTACCACAACAAAGAGATACCGCTCAGAGAGCTCCCAGCTGGTTGGGAAAATATTGGTTTCTTCAGCCAGCTTTAACAGCATCTCTCGAGCTTCCCTTGTGTTTTTAGAATCACTCATGGTGCTGAGTTTGGTCACCGACAACAACGAGTCCGCTTCCCTTTGAAAACCTAAGGTAGAAAATGTTACCCCCAGATAAATAGCTGCCCTGCGATATGGTGCCCACAGGAGATAGAATGGACCCAGATGCAGATTATACAAAAACAATGCAATATGGAAACCAGAGGTAGAACTGCTATGCTGCTTCCCAGAGCAGTGGGATTTGTCTTTAATTAAAATTTGTGTAAAGCCGGGTTCAGGTAGCTCTGAGATCTGTGGATCATGGTTCAAAGCCAGCCCAGGCAGGAAAGTCTGTAAGTTAAACTCCAAAAAATGCCAGAAGTGGACACTCAAGCGATAGAGTGCTATCCTTAAGCATAAAAATTCAGGGACACCGCCCAGGCCCTGAGTTCCAGCCCTGCCCTAGGAGGACCCACTGACTACCTGCTGTCCTATGCCGAGTTGGAAATCCAGTTCCCTGTCCTCCCAATCCTTCACCTCCCCCACCCCAGGTCCTTAGAATTATTACCCCACCCCCAGTCCCAACCCGCAAAGGGGGTCACCTCCTACCCTGCTTCTCCAAGCCCACATTTCCCTTCTCAGGGCAGCGTGGTTGGCTGGTGAACATGTCTTACCCCAAGGTAGGAAAGACTCAAAGACTTTAAACCTACCTAGAATAACTCAGATTAAAAGACTATTAACCCACAGCAATATTGGGTGACTTAGAGGGCAGAGTTCCACCTCATCCTACTTCACCCCAACTAATAGGAACTAGAAAGATGGCATCTCTCCTTTAAAAGTTATGATGCCAGAGTACCATGTCCTTTCAGGACAGAAGAATCAAGGGCTTCAAAATTAATACATTCACCTTGATGTCAATTGTTCACACTTAAAATTCTAGCCACTTAGAAGGCTGAGATTGTTAGGATTATGGGTCAAGGATAACCCAGGCAAAAAGAAGTCTGTGAGAAGCCCTTCTCAATGAAGAGTTGGACATGATGGAATTCTCTTATTGTTCTAGTGACAGAGAAGCCTAATGTAGGCGAATTGTACCCAGGTAGGAAGTGAGATCCTATCTGGGCGCTGGTAGCTCATGCCTGTAATCCTAGCTACTCAGGAGGCTGAGATCTGAGGATCATGATTCAAAGCCAGCCCAGGCAGGAAAGTCTGTAAGACTTATCTCCAATAAACCACCAGAAAACTGGAAATGGCACTGTGGCTCAAGTGGTAGAGCATTAGCCTTGAGCTGAAGAGGTGAGGGACAAGTGCGTAGGCCCAGAATTCAAGCCCCATGACTGACCAAAAAATAAAAAAAGAAAGAAAGAAAGAACCAGCCAGGGTGGGCTGGAGGTGTGTTTCAGGGGTAGGAGCACTTGTTTAGAAAGCTCAAGGACTAGAGTTCCAAATTCTAATACCCACAATGATAAATTTACTTTTTAAACATTCAAGCAAGGTTATTTTATGATGTGAGGGACATGTTTATGGCATCTCAACTCTGGTAGAATTAAGAAGACTCATTACCCAATATCAACCCCAATACCACAGATATTTTTCCAAGCATGAAACTTTCCTTCTTTAACTTCTTCTGAAATGTTGTATGAAGACGTATTATTTCTCTTACAAACAATATTTCTCCCAGCTCTGTCTCACCCATAGTTATTACTAGTTGGCCAATATCCCCATATAATTCAGTCAATGCACAATGGTGCATTGCCTTTGCCCTGTGCTACCCTATACTAAGGACAGATGAGTAACCTAGGGCAGTGTATCTTCAAGACACAGGCTGGTCAGGGACCACGGAAATGCCAGGCACTGGCAGCTCACATCTATAATCCTAGCTACTCAGGAGACTGAGATCTGAGAATCACAGCTCCAAGCTAGCCAAGGCAGAAAAGTCCATGAGACTCTTATCTCCAATTAACTAGCAAAAAGCTCAAAGTAGAGAGGTGGCCCAAGTGGTAGAGTACCACCCTTGAGAAAGAAAGCCAAGCGAGAACACAGGCCCAGGGTTTAAGTCCCAGTAACAGTACACAAAAAAGGAAGAAAGAAGAGAGAGAGGGATGGACAAAGGGAGGGAAGAAGAGAGGGAGGGATAAAGGGAGGGAGGAAGGGAGCTCAAGGGCTGATGTTTGGGGGTATAAGAGCAGACTGGGAAGAATAATTAGTACATGATAGCTTAGACAGTCAGTTACTGACCTCCATGCAGAATTTAGGGTGGAAAAAAATAGCTGTATTGGGGCTGGGAAGGTGGCTCAGTGGTAGAGCACTTGCCTTGCATGCCTGAGGCCCTGGGTTTGATTCCTCAGCCCCACATAAGCAAAAAGGAAAAAAAAAAAAGCCAGAAGTGGCACTGTGACTCAAGTGGTAGAGCGCTCGCCTTGAGCTGAAGAGCTGAGGGACAGCGCCCAGGCCCAGAGTTCAGGCCCCACGACCGGACCAAAAAAAAAAAAAAAATAGCTGTATCATGATTAGTTCCTTTTTAACCTCTTCACAATCTCTTTCGGACTCACCCAAATCTTCTAAAATGCATTTCCATCTGTTTCTGACTTCTCTCCGAATCTGCCTCAGGGTATAGATATCATAGTTGAGTTTTTGCCACTCCTGTAAGAAAAATAAAAATTCATTTTTATCTATACCCTCTGGCCATAACCTCTATCTCATTCCTGAGCTACCTGTTGCTTAAGCCTGTGGTTTTTCTCTTCACTGATCTTCAAAGCATGCCTGAAAGAAGAAAAACGGGTAGACAAGATGGCACTAATACAAACAACATCATCTACCACTGCTGAACAAGTTTCTGTATCAAGTGATATGATGCTTTACATGAGTATCTTACTAAACTCTGCACATTATCTTCTTACACAACTTCAATAATTGTATCTGCAGAGGAGGCTTAGCTGATATGCCATTCAAGATTCTTCTCAAGATTGAAACAATGTAAAAACACAACCTCTGCCCATAATATAAGCCCAATAGGGGCTGGAAAGGTGGCTCATTAGTAGAGTGGTTGCCTTGCATGCATGAGGCCCTGTGTTCAGTTCCTCAGGACCATATAAGCAGAAAAAGCGGAAGTGGCACTGTGGCTCAAGTGAGAGAGCACTAGCCTTGAGCTGAAGAGCTGAGGGACAGCGCCCAGGCCCAGAGTTCAGGCCTCACTACCACCACCACCACCACCAACAACAACAACAACAACAATAATAATAAGCCTAATAAAAATCCATGTAGTTAGACCAATTGATAAAGGAAGAAACAGCTTCAAGTAGTTTACTTGACAAAGTCAATATCTTCTAGCTAATTCTAATAGGCATTAGAATTTTGGATGTGTGAACCCAAGACTTGCTCCAAAGTTCAGGTGAAAACTGGAATGCCAACAATCCAGGTCTCCCTTTGTTATAAGAAAGTGAATCCTAAGCAGCTTGACTTCTAGCCAATGTTGTCTATACCCTCTCAGCATCCCTCTTCTTTTATTTACATTGCATTAATAGGATGAATCTTCCAAGAGCACAGGAAGCCATTAAAAGGTTATCATTCTGAAAAGTTCTTTATAGTCTCAGATGTGGCAGGCCATCATGTTGGTCCCAATTCAGAAGCTAAATGTTTTAGTAGCATTATGATTGTCTCTGAGCTAAGTGTTCACTTCAAAATGTCATAGCAATTGCTTTTAGGAAGACTTATCTATATAGAAAAGTCATTTTACAGAGTACACATTTTCCTCTTTCTTAGCAAAGACATTAGCCACACAACTAACCTAATGTAGAGCTTATAAGAACATCACTTTAAATGCCCAATTTAAGACTCAAGCTATATGTTAGTTTGACTCCAATAACTGAAAATGTTCCACTGGTTCCATTATTTCCCTACTAAGTTTCTTTCCAAAAAAAAAAAAACTTTAACACTCCTTTTGCTGATTGCTAATCAACTTCCATGGCTGATTAAGAAAAATAATTTATGTGCCACTCACAGATATTTTTAGATACCACTCTGGAAGAGAAAAGGGAGCTGAGAGCTGGTGGTTCACACCTGTAATCCTACCTACTCAGAGGCTGAGATCTGAGGACTGAAATCTGAAGTCAGGCTGAACAGGAAAGTCCATGAGATCCTTATGTCCAATTAGCCATTTTAAAAAAGCCAGAAGTGGAGGTATGGTTCAAATGGCAAAGGCTAGCCTTGAACAAAAAAAAGCCAAGTGAGAGCACAAGGTTCTGAGTTCAAACCCCGATACCAGCACAGAGAGAAAGACACAGAGAGAGACAGAGAGAGAATAAACTGTATTTTATTATGACTGCATTTCAGATCTTGTATCCAAGCATAGCTATAAGAAAAGGTAGTAAGATTCTAGCTACTTTTTTTTTTTTTTTTTTGCCAGTTTTGGTGCTTGAACTCAGGGCCTGAGTGCTGTCCTTGAGCTTCTTTTGCTCAAGGCTTGAGCCACAGCGCCATTTCCAGCTTTTTCTGTGTATGTGGTGCTGAGGAATTTAATCTAGTGCTCCATGCATGCTAGGCAAGCACTCTACCACTAAGCCCCTTCCCAGCCCTGAGCTACTTTCTTAAAGTCAGGAGGCTGTAAATCTGCTCCTCTTTTTCTGACCAAAGGCACATGCCTATGAGTGTGGTGACTGGAAATGAAGACAAAGCCTGTGACTATGGAAGAAAACAAAGTCATGTCAAAAGTTTGCAGCCTTGGCTTCATCTTAGCATCGAGTTCAAACATACCTATCAGGTTCCCATAGACTGGATAAAGAGAAGGGGGAATCCTGAGTCATTGCCCTTTGCACTGGATGGGCCTTACTGCACTGAACAGACTGTTCATTGTATCATGTTGGAAAGACTCTGAGTACTGAGCTACATTGCCCAGGTTTGGATCCCAGTTCTAAACTGATTCACGGCCTGAGTACAGGGAAGTTCTTAGCCTCCCTGTGACTCAGTTAACTAATCTAAGCTGTGGCAACAATACCACCTTGTACTTCATGACTTACCGTGTAAGTCGGTTAAGTTAATGCAAGCCATTCAAATGGAAGTTGGTGCACCTTCCCTCCTCAAATCAGTGTAGGTACAATTAAGAAAAAGTCCTACAAGATTCAGATTTCTACTATAAGCATGGAGAACATTTTGCATTGCATTATGCAGTATGTCATGTGAGGCTGGCTATTCAGATTTCTTTTTTTTTTTTTTTTTTGGGGGGGGGTCTGGTCATGGGGCCTGAACTCTGGGCCTGGGTGCTGTCCTTCAGCTCTTGAGCTCAAGGCTAGCGCTCAACCAATTGAGCCACAGCGCCACTTCCAGCTTTTTTTCTTTTTTGCTTATGTGGTGCTAAGGAATCGAACCCAGGGCCTCATGCATGCAAGGCAAGCGCTCTACCACTGAGCCACCTTCCCAGCCCTATTCAGACTTCTCTACACTTAGCATCAAGTAGTAATTTACTCCCCTTACCTCCCCCCCAAAATAAGGCTACGTCTTTCTTGATGTTGAATTTTTTGGTGGATCAAGGACACTATAACATGAAGTTTTAGACTCTTTTAAGACAGATACATAGGATTTAGGATGCATCTAGGAATTACTATGACTTTGTATTATTTTTATACCTTTGTGACTATCTTTTTTCTCCTTTGTTCCTAAGTCCTGATTTGTGCTTTCTCACTGTTCATGCAAACTGCCTTAAATTCTTTATGATTAAAAAAAAAAAAGATTATAAACAAGCTAGACACTGATGGTTCATGCCTATAACCCTACCTACTCAAGAGGCTGAGATCGTAAGATCTCTGATTAAAGCCAGCACAGGCAAGAAAAAGACTGAGAAAATCTATCTCCAATTAACCAGCAACAAGTTAGAAGTAGAGGCATGGCTCAAGTAATAGGAAGCCAGTCTTGAGCAAAAGAAACCGTGCAAGAGCGTGAGGCCCTGAGTCCAAGCCCTAGTACCAATACTCCCTCCTCCCCCCAAAAAAACTACAAACAGAACATTAAAGGCATGCTATGCTTACCCACCCTCAGGAAAAGCTGATCCTGTTTTCTGGGCTTAGTGCAAAATCATAGTCACACTTGCACTTGTTACTTAATACCATATTCATACAACCTTAGTTTAAGGAACAAACCACTAGGTGGCTTCATTAGCTTGCAATCTGAATGTCTCTACTAATTGTTTTCTTAAGTCTATAGAGTGATGGATACCTCAGCTCTTGTTCTCTCTAAACAAATCTCTATGTTTTGGAGACACATTCATCCTTAGATGATCCAGGCTCCGGGCTTTCCCCTCCTCCTGTCCACCCCGCAGCTCTTTTTTTCTTCCTAAATATCAACACTGAATGGCATACAAATTCATTCCCTTTCATCACCTCTTGCTCTCTCTGATAGAGAAGAACTGAAAACTAACATCTGAATAAGATTTTATTTTTTTTGCTGGTCCTGGGCTCTGTCCATGAGCCTCTCTGTGCTCAAGACTAGAGCTCTACCACTTGAGCCACAGTGCCACTTCCAGCTTTTTCTGTTTATGTGGTATGGAGGAATCAAACCCAGGGCTTTATGCACGCTAAGCAAGCTCTCTAGCACTAAGCCACATTCCCAGACACCTAAATGAGATTTTAATGCTCCTGAGAATGGATCTGTACATCACACATCTCTGAATCCTGGCCTCCCCTGCCACAGACAACTTGCCTATGTTACATAGTTGTTAAGATTAGTGGCATTAGTTCAACAAATCATGTGCCCAACAGGAGCTACCCAATCATGGATCACCAGCCTTCAAGATTTTCACAGCAGGCCTAGCTTCTTAGTGAAGTGAATTCTTTGAACACAGTAACTATGATGTTTCTTTTTCATTTTCACCAGTCTATATCAACTAATGCGACTTTCTGCCTAAAATGAAGAGGGATTCTCTGAAAGATTGAGAGGTTGTATTGATTGTATCTAATTCTCTCATGTTCATCTTTCACAGAAAAATGTAAAATGTATCATGTAGCCACAGTCATTTGATACTAATTAATGAGGAGCCCACAAAAACAACCCCCATGTGGTCTAGAAAAGAAAGTATCCAGGAGCTAGCTACTGTTGGCTGACACCTATAATCCTGGCTACTCAGGAAGCTGAGATCTGAGGATCACAGGTCAAAGCCATCCTGGGCAGGTAAGTCTATGAGACTCTTATGTCCAATTTACCAACAAAAACCTAAAAATGGATGTGTGGTTCAAGTGGTAGAAAGAGGAAATGGAGGCTCAGAGAGCCTAAGTAGCTTTTCCACATGGACACAGCACAAGGTGAGGAGCTAAAACTGTAAACCAAGGCATTCTGGCTTCCACACTTAGCCACTGTCCACTCTGACTCTTCAAACAGGAAGGTTATGGTAGACAAGGGAGGAAAGAAAGAAGGGAAAAGCAAGGAGAAGAGAAAGACGTTTGAGAAGGGACCAAATACATCTGAAGTCTGCAAAGGAAACAGACCTTTCCAGAAGCGAAGTCTCCCCAACTCTCACTGCCAATGCTGCCAGGCATCGGAGTGTTCTCTTGCTAAAGGGTGGACTTGCTCTTTGGTACCTATCTGGGAACTTCAATCTTCCCTCCTTAGGAAGGTTGAAAAGGACCTCCCATGTTTCCCATCCCTTCCTCCTCACA